GTGTGTGTGTGTGTGTGTGTGTGTGTGTGTGTGTGTGTGTGTGTGTGTGTGTGCGCGCGCGTGTGTGTTTCCGGCACTCAGGCCTTAAAAATACAAATTTCATTTAATTTCTTTTTCACCAGCAGAGGGAGCCGCTTCAACACTCTTGCCAAAGCGAAATAGCTTGTTGAACTATGTTAAACTATTAATAATTTATTTATAGCCCTCATTTCACTTCATTTGATAAGCGTAAATACAGATTTTCTCCATAACCGATAGGGTTACACGGTCTCTGTCTCTCTGGTCTCCTGTTTCTAGTCCAGAACTAAAAGGCCACTTGCCAGCAGGGTAATCTGTTGTCCTAATTACATTTGAAGCAATCACGGCCACAGATGGGGCCGATCTGCGTGGGGCCCGGTGTTACAGCCTGCAGGGAGGAGCTATCAGTGCGCAGACTGGACTTTAGGATGTGCCGCATTGTGTGAGATGTTCCAGCGGAATTACGCAGCATCGTGCCAGAAGTTCAAGATTTCAGTTTTCCTGGAAAAACAACTTAAATACAAATGGATATTTACTGGAGTCTGCGAAAATACGAGATAAGTTCACCAGCTTTTGTTTTTAAAGTGGTTTTAAAACGCGACTGACGCGAAAAAGATGTAGTTTTTCTTCACCTTTTACTGAAAGGATCTCAAAGCCATGAGTGAAGGAGTCATGGGCGGAAGGAATGCGCCAGTTGCGCTCCTCCAGGTGTTCCTCCTGACGCTGTTTTGCGCGCAGTCGCTCGGACGGGTCTTCAACCTGACGCTGTCCGTGAAGGAGGGCCTGCCCGCTAAAACCATCGTTGGAGATCTGGGAGCGGTCCTGAGCGCGCCGAGCACCGGCTTCTTCATCTCAGAGAGCAGAGACTCGTATGTGTTCAGAGACCTGGAGATAGACGCGGACACGGGCATCATCTCCACGGTGGCGGGCCTGGACAGGGAAAGCAGAGACCGGTACGAGTTCGTGGCAGCTACTCTCACAGGAGAGATGATACGGGTGAGGATAGAGGTGGAGGACGTGAACGACCACTCACCTGTGTTTCCCAGAAAGGAAGTGGAGCTGGGAATCTCAGAGCTGTGTCCACCGGGGAGTCGCTTTCCGCTTGAAGGCGCAGCAGACCGGGATGAGGAGGAGTTCAGCACGCGGGGATACAGGATCAGAGAGAGTGAGATGGAAGAATTGTTCCACTTGGATTTTCGAATCGGATCTGAGAAGCAGCACAGCCTAGATCTGGTCCTGAACAGCAGAGTAGACAGAGAAACACAGGACTTCTACACTCTGACCATTGAGGCCTTTGATGGGGGGATACCAGCCAGGACTGGGACAGTCCAGGTTGACATCCGCATCCTGGATGAGAACGACAACCCTCCTGTGTTCAACCAGAGTGAATACCACAGCTCAGTACGTGAGGATGCTCCCATCGGGTTCATTGTCTCTCAGGTGCTGGCCAGCGACCGTGACCTGGGTGACAACAGCAGGATCACTTATGAGATCAATAGGCGGCAGAGTGACCCCAACCATGTGTTCTCCATTAATGAAACCACAGGATTTATTTATTTGAACAAGCCGCTGGATTTTGAAATTCAACCGTTTCATGAGCTGATTGTCAGAGCCAGAGACGACGGTGCTCAGCCTGAGTACAGCAGCACCTTTGTTGGTGTCAAGGTGCTTAACATCAACGATAACAGCCCCACCATCAGTGTGCTGTTCCTCAGTGAGACAGGAGAAGCTGTGGTGTCAGAGGCAGCCGCCGTTGGGGAATACGTCGCCCGGATTTCTGTGTCAGATCCAGACCTGGAGGAGCGCGGAATCAGCGTCTCTCTTGAGGGAGGAGATGGGAAGTTTACCCTGAAGCAAACAGATGATTTTCTGTATGCGTTGTGTGTCAACTCTGAGCTGGACAGGGAAGAAAAGGATCTGTATGAGCTGACAGTGCAAGCATCTGATTCTGGAAGCCCTCCTCTGAGCAGTGAGACACTTCTCCTCCTGAAGGTGTCTGATGCCAACGACTGCCAGCCGGTCTTTGAACAGGATGTGTACACTGTCAACATCGCTGAGGATGCTCCTGAGGGGAGCTCCCTCATACGAACAAGGGCCCGGGATGCTGACGAAGGCGTCAACTCAAACATCAGATACTCCATCCTGAAGTCACACCAGGACGGCCTGGTCGCTATTGACCCGACCTCTGGCCTGGTTACCACGGCCGCAGGCCTCGACAGGGAGACTCAGATGGAGGTGTGGTTCCTGGTGCTGGCAGAGGATGGAGGGGAGCCATCTTTGTCGTCTACTGCTACAGTCACAGTGCTGGTGGAGGATGTGAATGACAACGAGCCGGTGTTCCAGCAGCAGCTGTACAACGTGTCCATACCTGAGCACATGGACACTGGAAGCTGCTTCATACAAGTATGCTATAGCTAGCTATCTTGAAATTTGTATGTTCCAATTTTGAAATCTATATTCTTAGGTTCTCCTTTTTTTTTTTTTGTTTTTTACAAGATTTGCTGTCACTAAAATCCATCCATCTTCTTCTGCTTATCCGGAGTCGGGTCGCAGGGGTAGCAGCCTAAGTAAGGAGGCCATGATCATAGATGAGGTCATGGTAGAAAAAGCTCATAATCATAGAAGAGGGTAGGAACTTAGATCGACCGGTAACTAAAATAAATAATCAAATAAACTTTAAGCTGAAGCCTTGAATCTAGGGCGGCACTGACTGCAGTTTTCTGGCCGATCACCAATCTTTAAGAAGCCTGACCTGCCGATTCTGCTGATTTGATTTTAGCAAATACCAAATTTTTTTGTCTCAAAAAATATATTCCTTGCTAAATAAATTTCTTGCTAAATATAGCAAGAAAGTTGCTGAGACAGTAAAAGTGGGGTGACTATTAACTGCAAACTTGCAGACATGATCTGGTGGGCCGGTCTAACAGTCAAACCTCTCCCAGCAGAGCAGAAGAGGACAGTGGCTAATTTTTAGACCTTTCCGGAAGTCGATCAGATCAGCTTTACATGTCAGTATCGGCCGATATCAACTAGTCGATTTATTGGTGCACCCCTCCTTGAAAACTACTTTTCTACCCTCACATTTTCATTAGAAAGAAGCTTTTAAATGAAAGCTAGAGATCCTCACAGTCGAGTCCTTTTTGTGCTGAGTGGATTTTTTTTTCCAACTCTTGAGACAAAAGTAGCTCTGAGTCTGACGACACAAAGGCATCAGTGTTGTTTCACCAACAACACAGTACATCCCAGGCTTTCAGCTCAGCTTCGTGGTTTTCATATGACAGACTCGATGCGCCGTGCCACTCTCCTGCAGCCCGGCACCAACATATGCTAATTACAAAAAAACCTCTCTAATCACGGCACAGAATTGATTATAGGTAATGTCTGAAGGGACTTTTGCATTAGGTGAGGACTATGTAGTTCTGTTTTTATAAATGAATACAACATGCCTTTAGTGAGTGAATGAATAAGTGAGACGTCAGGTATTTTTTCTCATATATTTATTCGAAAATATATGAGAATGTTGATCACCAACACACTGCTATCAGTGTGTTGGTGATCAGTGTGCTCTAGTCCACGTTTCATTAGACTCTGGCCTGATGTCTGTAAAACATCCCGTGACCAGAGTTCATTCATTCTGAGCTGTTATCTTCTTTATGGCCTGGAAATGATCTGCCTCACTGTAAATCTGCCTCTTGTCTTGGTCGTAGGTGGACATGAAAGAAACTGTCGGTACTGAGGTGTTTCTTACTGTGATGATGTTTCTTTGAACTACACATCGATGACACTCCTCGCCCTTTGACTTCCAAAGATTTTTTTTTTTTTTTTTTTTTTCACTTTTATTATGTTGACCTTCAC